TGGGACAGCCAGGAAGCCCCATTTGACCTCCCAAGGCCAACTTCCTCTTACTGGGTCCTTGGGGCTCAGTGGGGAAAGGGCTGGCTTTGGACCTAGGCCGACCTGAGGCAAGTCCCACCACACAGCAGCTGTGTGGCCCCAGGAGAGCCCTCTCTAGGCCTTGCTCTTCTCTTCCTGGAAAGGGGTCCACTGCCACCCTTCAAGGTGCCAGGAGGATCGGATACAAGGAGAGTCGCATGTCCCTTTGTGACCTTGACAGGATCTGCAATCCTTCTCTCCCCACCGTCCTTCCCTGCTTGTGGGCAGTTCTCACCAAAAAAAAAAAAGTGTTTCTCCCTTTGCAAAGCTGAAAGCAGACACCACTAGTTATGCTTCTGCCTCTGCAGACCTGGCTGCGCCTGTGTCCCCTGAGAGCCTGCGGGCCCTTCTCCAGGCTGAGCAACCTCTCCCTTCCTCGGTCTTCCTTCCTGTCCTCCCCAGCCTCCCCCAGTGTGTGTCATGACCAGCAGGGCTGGGAGTGCCAGGGGCTCCCTGCTCTTGGCCCCTGACCATGCAGTGGATTGCAGTCTCCCACCTGGTTAACCAGTAGCCAAAGGCACGACCCACGCCTGGCCCCATGACCAATCTCGCACTTCCCATACCTTTGCCCAGAATGGCCCGATCCCTGCCCCCATCCACTGGCCTCCTCTGATCCTCTGACAAAGAGGCCAGGCCAGGAAAACTGCCTTGAATGGGTCCTAACTCTGTTATTCAATGCAGTGCCTCCTTAGGCTCAGGAAACCCTGGGTTTGCTTGGTCACTGGTGAATTGAGAGGGACAGGCTGTCACAGCAATCAGTCCACTGTGTGAGGGTCTGTGTCTCACATTGGATGAGGAGCTCCTTGAAGGCTGGGACACTTCTCCTCATCTCCAGGTGCCCAACCCCTGGGCACAGAAGAGGGCTCACTGCTATTTCTTAAACAGATAGATGGCGTGCTGACACCCCTTGAGATTCCAGCTATGGTTTAAGGGTTGTTTATTAACTAATTTCACCCCCTCAACAGCTCTGTGAGAAAGGTACTATTCACCTCCTCACTTCACAGATGAGGAAACTGAGGCACCCAAAGAAAAGAGCCCTGTCCAAGTTAGCAAGGGAGGGAGCCAGGCTTTGAGCTCCGACAACCTGCACATTCCCTCGGCTTCCAGCCATCGGATTCCATGACTCGTCAGTTTCTAGCTCCTGTAGACAGGGTGGTCTGAGCTCTCTCAGGACAAAGATGAGACAACAGCAGAAGGGGTAACAGAGTGACTCGTGCACCCTGTCACCTGGACACAGCTGCGAGAATCCACGGGAGAAAGCAGACCTTCTTTCAAAAATGAATTCCCTGGGCTGGGGCTGGGGCTCAGCGCTAGAGTGCTCGCCTAGCAAGGCCCTGGGTTCAATCCTCAGCACCACGTGAAATAATAAATAAAATAAAGGTATTGTGACCAACTACAACTAAAAGAAATATTTAAAAAATAAGGAAGCCCCTGATGCCAAGACAGTGGGGTGGGAAAGGAGTAGGACGTCACCAAAYAGGCCAGGTGTAACTGGGTAACCAAGCACACCATCCTCTCTTCTSTTAAATGCGTGTGTGATTTTCCCTAATGAAAAGTTTAAGTTTTTAAAATGCGACAAAGTGGAGCCCAGAAATACCATAAAATGCAGACTGTCTTCTCTGTTTTCTTTCCAGTTCCTTCCTCCCCCTCAGGTCTGTCTCTTGGTCTCCCAGGTTGTTGTGTGACTCTCAGTCTGTCGCTCTGTTTCTTGGTTTGTCCCTGTGGGTGTCATTTGCTGTGACTCTGGGAATCAGGGAGAAAATGGTAGTGTCCCCCACACCCCCTGTCTTTATCCCATCTCCTCCCGGGGCCCCTCCTTTTCCCCTCCCTGTGTCCAGATCTCTGTTCTCTTCTCCTTGCTTTGACCTTGTCCCCCATGTTAACTGCACACCGAGGCACGGTTGGCTCCGGGTTGGTGCCCCTCCTCTGGACTACACGCATGGGGTATTTTCATTCGGTGTYTAAAAAGCTCAGATAGCTGGACACAGTGGCGCATGCCTGTGATCCCAGCAGCTTGGGAGGCCGAGGCAGGAGGATCATGAGTTCAAAGTCAGCCTCAGCAAAAGTGAGGCACTAAGCAAATCAGTGAGACCCTGTCTCTAAATAAAATACAAAATAGGGCTGGGGCTCAGTGGTCAAGTGCCCCTGAGTTCAATCCCTGCTCCCAAAAAAGGCTCAGATAATGCTGCCATGAAAGAAAATATTGGTGCTTGAAAAAGGCAAAAATCCATTTTTCACCTACCATTCCCCTCCTCCTCCTCCTCCTCCTCCTCCTCCTCCTCCTCCTCCTCCTCTTCTTTTTATATAATGGAACCTGGGTATAACTTCACAGCTATACCCCAGCCCTTTTTATTTTATTTTGAGACAGGGTCTTGCCAAGTTGCCCAGGCTGTCCTTGAACTTGAGATCTTCCTGCCTCAGCCTCCCGATTACTGAGATTACAGGTGAGCACCATCATACTCCCTACCATCCTTAACTGTAAAATAGAGTGTCGCTTATTTTCATTTCTTTTCCCCGACTAAACATAACGCTTGCCATGTGCCACATATTAGGCTCAGGTTCTTCCAGCTATTATCCCGTGGAGCCCTCTCACAACCTGTGCAGCACGTACCCCCACTGCACAGATGAGGAAACTGAGGCTTTGGGCAGGTTGAGGAAAGCCCAAAGTCACTCAGCTACTGACTGACAGAGCTGGAATCGGAACCCTYCTTCTAGTTYCGAARYAGGAAACCYGTTCAGCACTAAAAGTACATGAAGRTACTGATAATTCCTCAGTGCCTGGGATCCTCAGGGGTCCCCTACTCTTAACTGGTAGACCCATCTGAATAACACGCTCAGGCCTGAGGCTGCCCCATGAGAAGGACCTCGACCAGCTGGACCATGTCCAGAGAAATGACCATGATGGTGAGGAGTTCCTGGGAGGGACGAAGGGAGGCTCTTGGGGACCTGCTCTGTCTTCTCAGGCCTGCCGAGGGCCCAGAGGGCACAACTGGAAAGGTCTCTGGGCTCRGATCACAGGGTCAACTGCCTGCCTCCTGGGTATCTTTTGGGGTGTCCCATAGGTACCCCTGCCCAACCTGTCCCAACTAAATACTCCACCAGCCTGCTCCTCCTCTGGAGTCCCCGCCTCATGAGGGCCACACTACACACCCATCCGTCCAAAAAGAGGCCCAGAGTCACCTCCCCTCCTTCCCTGCCAAATCCAGTCCCATCTGTCCTCACTCACAGCTTCCGCCTTAGTCCAGGCCACCTTCCTCTTCACTGAGACTACCGCCGGGGCCTTCTGCCCCTCCTGCTACCTCCCACCTGGGCTCCACCTGGCTCGGAGGGACGTTTCTAAACACCCACAGCTCCTCCTTCTCTCCCAGCCGCAGAGCACCACTGGAGWGAGAGGAGAAAGGGACAGGTCCCCTCAGACTCTCTGCTCCGCATCCCCCACCCCCCTCCAGCTGACACTTAGTGCTCTCTGTCCACCTGTCCTTCAAGCATCACCCCCTTGCTATTCTCCCCCCACTCCTCTCGGGCTCTCTCCCTCCTGTATTGTGTCTGGATGGAAGGTGTCTCTTTTTTAAATGTCAGCGGACTGAAGGGGTCTCCTTTTTTAAGCCTGGCTGGGTGTCCATGGCTCCTTCTTTCTCTTTTGTCCTCTACAAGGCAAAATGTCCCCAATGTTCTAAGCAGATTCCATGACACCAGTGGTGGTCCTTTTTTGTTGTTGTTGTTATAYCTTCTTAGATCTAAAACATTTCCCTGTTAGAGTAAGAATTCTTGATTCCCACCATCTGGGCAGGACTTCGAAGATGTCCAATCTTTCCCATTTGGTGTTCATAAGCCAGGGGCTAACCTCGATCCTGTTAGAACAGTTAGTAACAAAAAGACAACGGAGCCGGGCACGGTGGCGCACACCTGTAATCCCAGTGACTCAGGAGGCTGAGRCAGGAGGATTGCTAGTTCAAAGCCAGCCTCAGCAACAGGGAGGCCCTAAGCAACACAGTGAGACCCTGTCTTTAAATAAACTACAAAATAGAGCTGGGGATGTGGCTCAGTGATTGAGTGTCCCTGAGTTCAATCCCTGGTACCAAAAACAACAACAATAACCAAAGACAACAGAAAACAAATATTGGCAAGGATAAAGAGGAAAAGGAACTCACACCCAGTTGGTGGGAATGTAAGTTAGCACAGCCACTATGGAAACAATAGGAAGGTTCCTCAAAAAATTAAAAATAGAACAACCACAGGATTCAGCAATCCCACTACTTACTGGGTATATATTCAAAAGAAATGAAATTGCCATGTCAAAAAGATACAGCAAGCTAATGCCGATGGCAACACTATTCACAAGAGCCCAGATAGAGAATCAACCTAAATGTCCAACAGCAAAGAACAGGTAGAGAAATGTGGTTCATCAACACAGTCGGGACAGAGAGAGAGGGCAGTCCTGTCATATGAGGCCACATAGAAGACGGGGGAGGATACCATGTTAAGCAAAAGGAACCAGACACTTAAAGGCAAACGCTCATTATCATTCATATGAACAGTCCAAAAAGGCTGATCTCATACACAGCGAAGGGTAAGGAAGTGTGTGCCAGAGCCTGGGGRGAGGAGCCCAGGGATGGAGAGAGTGGTCATGGGCACCAGTTACGGGGGCTATGCCACCTGATTAATAGATGAACAAACTGGGGTCAGAAGCTGCAGAGTTGGGATTTGAACCCAGAACCCTCTAATTCCACGTCTGGGCTCTGTTCACCCACTCCRTGGCTCTGAACCAAAGATGAAAGGAATTGACCCAGGAACCGACCCCTGCTTCTTTCCTCCACGCCAGCCGGCCTGCACATTACCTAACCCCTGCCTTCTCCATCAATCAACCTAGAAGACAGGTGCCTGGGACACACAGTTGTCCCGCCTCATTACCTGGCACTCACCTTGCGTTTGCAGTGAACATCTGGCTGGTAASGGGCCACCTGAAGCCCGGGTGGGCGATGCACTAGCGGACGAAGTGTCTCTGGATTGTTCTTGRGGCTCCTGGTTATGACTGCTTCCTCTGGGCTGGTGTCCTCGCCAAGTCTCTTCCCCGCACCCAACAGGCAAATACCCAGTCAAATATTTACCTGAGAAAGGAAAGCAGGTGAGCAGCCCTCTTCCTGGTTTCACAACACCCTGGCTCCCCTTCTGCTCTTCCTCTCCTTCTCATGTTGCAAAAGAGGGAGCTGCTGTCCTGCAGCCTCTCCTCCCCTCGCTGCTGACCCTTACGGRACCCCCCTCGCCTGGCCCTTCGGTTGTCAGAGCTTCGTCCTGCAGCTGTGGCCCCTTAGACTAGCTTTGAAAATTATTATAGGCAATAGACTAGGAATCTGCCTCACAGCAGGGCAACTCGTCCCCCTGACTTGCTGGTTCCCCTTGGAAACAAGGCAGCCCGTTTGCTGGGAAAAGAAGCTGGAGATAGTTCAAAACTGAACCTCACCTGCATGCAGACCAGCTGCCTGACTGCCAGCCTTCCTGCTCCCTGTGCAGAAAATAAGGCTGCTGCTGGGTGGGACCKTCCCAGGCTGGACCCTACTCAGGAGCTAACACAGGACGAGGTTTCACCCATGGRCTGGGAGGGGAAGTGCTCGACGTGGTCAAGAAGCAAGGCTCTCTGTTTCCTCCTCCTTCCCCATCTGCTGGTTGGACTCCAGGGCTGTACAGGAAGTGAAATCATAAGATTGAAGGAGCCTGGATCCTTGACTTACCATGTAGAGGAAATGGCCTTCTAGGGACCATCCTCCTACAGACTAGCCCATGAGCAAGAAATAAAGTCTTCTTGTCATACTCCAGCRACGTGGGGGCTTATTTGTTGCAATAGCTCATGGGGCTGTTTAATGTGGCACAGAGTATGGGGGACTTGTGAGCAYCATGTGGTCCAGGTCCTGTATGTTAAGAATAAGACCTTGTGGTAACTGAGATAACTCTTTAATGATCCKATGTCCAAATATGGTCATGTTCTAGAGTAATGGGAGTTAAAACTCCAGCAAGTGAGTTTGGAGCAGACACAATTCAGACCATAACACCCCAGATGTAATCAGCTACAAGGGAGCAGGAGAGGACCTCGGAGGCAATGAACAGACACCCTAACTGACAAAGCCTGGCCATCTGTGGCACCCACCTGCTTCCTTTACCCCTGCCTAGACACCTCCACCCACCCTGATCATCAGCACCAATTTTGTTCATTGAGTCCTCTCTTGACATAGTAACTGCCTGGAAGTGTCTTCTGATCGATAACAGTGTGATCTGGGCTCAGTCTACACACCTCTTGTGTCATGGATATAGGGCTTCCGTGTCTTTTCACTTAGACACATTTATGGAGATCACTATGGTGCAGTGGTTCAGAGTGTGGACTTGGGGAAAGACTCCACAATTTCTTAATTGTGCAACTCTATGCAAGCTACATCATGACCCTGTTTTAACTGGGATGASTTACACCTACTTCATGTGACCAAAATACCTGACATAAACAACTTAAAGGAAGAAAAGCTCATTTTGGTTCAGGGTTCCAAAGATTTCAGTGCAACTGGCTGACTCCATTGCTCTGGGCCTGACGGGATGCAGAAGGGCGTGGTGACCCTCCGAAGTCAAGACCTCAGGGATCTACTCCCTCCCCTTGCTTCCACCTTCTAGTAGTTTATCCAGCTGTTAATGGATTAATCCACCAAATTATGAGGTCAGAGCCCTCAATATCCAATCATTGCCTAAGAGCCCCACCTCTGAACCTTGCTGTTTTGGGGACCACACTTTCAACATATGAGCTTTGGGGGGATGTTCCAAATCCAAACCCTAACAACATGCARCGTTGAAATAAGCTAAGACACAAAATGCTCAGCCGTGTGACTGACACCAAGGTAAGCACTCCAGGAACATTAGCTATTCTTGGGGACCTACTGTGTGCCAGGAACAGCTTGGGATGCTAAGTGTATAGTCACATCACAGCTGATAGTGTCCAAGTCCCAGCTCCCCTGACAGATCCTAGTGACTTGGAAGCCACAACCAGATGTGAGTCGGCACACCTGGGACACAGGAGAGGCTCTGTAAATGCTTCTTCTTGAAGTGAAACGAGGCAAGAAAGGTGAAAAGGAGGCATGAAGACTGAGTGCAGCAGAACTCCTTCCTCTAGCCCAGGCCCTCGGCTTCACCCGGAGAGTCCATTGATGGTGCATTTCTGCTGCGTCGCTCAGAAGAAAAAATCTGAAGCTCTTCTCCTCCTAGGCACAGGGAGATGCTCTCTCTTCCCGGAGCACCCTTCTGCCAATGCTTCCTGGCTCYGCCGCCCAAAATGTTTTCAAGTCTTGGGTGATCACAGTGGTCTTCCTCAGCACCCTGCAATTCCTCTCTTTCCACCATTAACAAAGAGTCATGATTGATTGTCACAAACTCCCCGGGGAGGTTGGGAAGGCAGCCACTTTAAAATGGAGAAGAGCTAAGACATTTACTCTCAGATGCTGACATTCAAGGAAATATCGTCGGTGGTAATAAGGACCCAGCGCTGAGGGGCTGTCGCACTCCACACGTGAGACCCGGCACAACTCCAGACGTGATGAATTTCCCTCCTTCTCCCAGGCTTCTGCATTTCAGTGTTGAATTCAAACAGAATCTGATCTGTTATCTCCAGAACATTTCAACATCTCATTTATCTCCCCCATGAAAACCCATGCAATCCTTTTGAACCCTGCTTGTTCTAGCCAATGTTTACTGATTCTATTTTTTGACCGAGGCATTTGAAGACTCTGACTTCACCTGGCTTGGTGATAAAGCACACTGAGCAGAACAGAGCCTTCCAGCCCTCCACTAGAGACCTCTTCCTAGGAGCTAGGGAAGAGTGCCACCCGCTGGCAGAGATGTCAAACTACACCGGTTTAGGAAGTTAGTATATTTGACCCCTGTATTTAGCAGGGCTCAGAGTGTGGGCAGTGCCACAGAAGGAAAGTCAACAGCCCCTCATGAAGGCCTTGCTTGTCTCCCGAATGTTGGGTGTTTATCTCAGGATGGCCTCTATTTATCCTATAGAGAGAGGGCTCAATTACTAAATTCAGAAACAACAGGGCCCAGATGCCTGGAGGACCCGGTGCAGTTTCTTCACTAATATCTGTGGTTGTCAGGGGTGGGACTGTCTGAGTGACTGTTCTAGAATCCACAGGTGATGTGTGGCAGAGATGGGGCTCAAAACATGCTCACCTAATCCAKTGTTCTTCCTGTATAAGTTTTACAACCAGAAAAATAAATGTCAGGAACAACCATCAAAAAGAATCAAATTAATTTATATTCCCATCCCATCTCTTCTCTGTTCACAGGCAGGCTCAGCTCCTCCCTCTTGGAAGAATAAAGCCAAGCTCCTTAGCTGGGCATTCAGTGTCTTTGTGATCTGGCCCCAGGTTGTCTTTCCAGATGATTCTAGAGAATACTCAGCTCTGGAAAAGTCTACAAAGACACTGGGACTCAGGGCCCATCCAYCTCCCCTCTCCTCCTTCATTGCTCTGTAGGAAGCACCTATGCACCAAGAACCAGGCCAGCTCCTAAGGTTAGAGGCTCTGGGGTCACGCCTGCCCCTTCTTCCCAGGTAGGCCAATGGCCTGGCGTGTGCAGTGTCCTCCCTGGGGAGAGTCCTAGTGGYTTGCAGGGAACAGGGAAGAGATAACTGTATTGGAATGCAGGTAGTGACGAATCACTGTGATGGGGCCACATGGGGACAGACAGGGGCAGAAGATCAGATCCTGCAAAGGCCACTTCTAGCACACCAGGAACAGGAAGGCCAACCATGTGAGGAAGAAAAGCTCTGGACAGGGACTCCCAGAAACCTAGGTCCTCGYCCCCACTCTGCTAAGGGCTATGTGGTGTTAAGGTTTACATATAAAATGTCCCCTCCAATATACGTGTGGTACTCAGCTTTTGTGGTGGTGTTGGGAAGTGGGGTCTTTAAGAGACAATTAGACCATTAAGTGGGGTTCGTACGTTTGAGTTTTCACTCTCTTGGGACTGGATTTCTTACTGTCAGAGCTGCTGGTTATAAAGCAAGTGCCTCTCATGATTTGCCTTTCTCACACACACTCACTCACACTTTCACTTCCTGCCATACATGAAGCAGCACAAGGTCCTCAGCRGAAGCTAAGAAGATGCTGGCACTGTGCTTTTGGACTTCCCGGACCCAGAGCCATGAACCAAAATAAACTTTCATTTCTCTATAAATTACCCAGCCTCAGGTATTCTGTTATAGCTACAGAAAACTAAGAGAGCAAACTTGAGCAACTCCATTCCTACTCCATGATTCAGTTACCCCCTTGGTCTAGTGAGGATGTCAGCAGGTGACCTTGAAGATCCTTCTGCCTACTGAGCCAGCTCAGTTGTCATCTCTGAAACCTCAGACATCCCCCCTCCCCTGCCAACTCCACTGCTGCATAAAGACTCATACCTCTGAGAATTCTGTGATTTCTCTATGTGTTTCTGTTCTTTCTTCTTGACCAAGAGCTGTTTATCCCAATACTCTGACTGTTAATAATTAGGAAATATGCCCAGATTGATGTTTGAGGAACACCCATTCCCATATCTGTAATTCTGACATTGGCCACAAGGTGGCGCTTTGCCACAGACGACTGACACTGCTMTTTGGTTGACGTTCTAGGAAGATGCTGAAAGCAGCAGCAGGAAAAMCTTTTTGCAAAGGCCTATCCTCTCTGGCCCCTTTCCCCTCCTGTAAAATGGCAGTCTATCAAACAGCAATACAGACCTGATGCACTGTGGCCAAATTGGGGTTGCACCATTTCCAAGTTTCCCAGCAGGTGGGGCCAGGCTAGGGACCTGTCTTCACTGACCCTTCCAGCCTGGCCCCCACTCCTCCCCACTCCCTGGGCCACTGCAGCTGTGTGCCTTTCTCCTCCTTCCCGACTTCACTGTGCTCTCTCTGAACTGCATGGCTTCCCGCACACGGCTCTCCACCAGGTTCCCTCTCTCCACTCTCTTTCCAAGCCAACACCTTTTAGCTCTTTGAGATTCMGTTTAGAAATCTCCTTCTGCAGACCTTCTTTGACAACCCCACCCCCATACTTTTTTTTTGGTACCAGGGATTGAACCTAGGGGTGCTGCACCACTGAGCCACGTCCTCAGCCCATTTTTATATTTTATTTAGAGACAGGGTCTCACTAAGTTGCTGAGGGCCTCACTAAGTTGCTGAGAGGCTGGCTTTGAACTTCTAATCCTCCTGCTTCAGGCTCCCAAGCTGCTAGGATCACAGGCGTGCACCACCACATCCCCCGCCTCCATATTTTTCTATGGCAACATTGACTGCACTGAAATTGCTTCCTCATGCCACCAGCTTGAGCATAGAGCTGGWGTGTTTCTSTTCTTTCTTCTTGACCAAGARCTGTTTATCCCTGTGCTACATCCCYGGGGCCTAACACACACCTTGCACACAGGGCTGGGCCTCAAAAAGTTTGAGGAATGAAGAACGAATGTGTTCATGAATCAGTGAGTCTATAAACTAAGAGGTGTGCTGCAGCAATATGAACGGAGTCCTGCTCTCCTCCC